ATGTGGAGTAGGGAATGCTTATGCACAAGATCAACTTGCTGTAACCTACCTTGGGAAGAAAGATAAGGTGCGACTTGTGCTGAACGGAAAGGGGACATTTGCTGTTGCTCTGAAGAAGCTTCAAGAAAACTTCAAGATGAGCTTGAAGTTGTTGATGCTTTTAGCTGTTAGGTATGCCATCACAAGCCAAATGGGGGCACTAGATTGCCTGTTCAAACGACAAAACACAGAGCAGATGCTTCAATACCAAGAGAATGTAGAGAAGGGCAAAGGTGCTATTGACCCTGTATCTGGCATGAGCTCTGACTACATCCTTGTGATTCATGGTGGTGCTGGAGAGGAGAGTATGCTGAACAGCAAAGTGACAGAGATGATTGAGTTTGCACTGCAAACAGCTTTGACCCTTGGGGCCCAAATTCTTGAACAAGGTGGCAGTAGTCTGGATGCTGTTCAGAGGTCTGTGGAAGCTTTGGAAGACTGCTTTCTGTTTAATGCAGGTAGAGGTTCAGTTTTCAACAAAGATGGCAAAAATGAATTGGAAGCAACCATTGTAGATGGAAGTCAAATGAGATCAGGATCTGTTGCTTGTGTGAAAAATGTAAAAAACCCTATCAAAGCAGCCAGATGTGTAATGGAGAAGAGCTCACATGCTCTGATGGTTGGTGAAGGAGCTGAAGAGTTTCTGCAAGGGCTGAAGGACAAAGAGAAGCCAGTTGGGCCAGAGTATTTCTACACTGATATACGTCACAAAGAGTTACTCGCAAAAATCAGTGGTGGAAACACCTCAAAAAACAACCACCCTCAGACAGTTGGAGCGGTGGCCTTGGATCGTTGGAACACATTGGCAGCTGCTACCTCAACAGGTGGATTGGTTGGAAAACTAAAAGGACGAGTAGGGGATACTGCAGTAGTAGGAGCAGGGATATATGCAGATGACAAGATAGCAATTACCTGTTCTGGAGACGGAGATGTCTTTTTAAGGAGTAGTGTGGCAGAGAAAATAGCCAGTCTATACCACAACAAAGGCTATAGCCTTAGAAAGGCCTGCAGAGAAGTGATAGCCCAAAATCTGAAAGATGTGTGTGCTGGTGTCATTGCTGTGGACAAAAAGGGTGACGCTGTCATTGAAACAAATGCTGGTGTGATGTTTGTGGCCTCAATGACTGGTGGTATTTCCAGGGTAGAAGTTCTCAAGCCAATGAAGAACTACATCAATGTGATCTGGGAAACAGAAGAGCTGGTTGCTTACCTGAACCAAAACCCTTGGACTCCTGGGTCAATCATTCTGACTAGAAAAACTCTGACTGGGGCTAACAGTATCTTTCAGTTGCCCACACCTGATTTTGTAACTATGCTACAAGGCGCAAAAACAGTATCAAACTTGCTATGTGAGCGACTGGGAGTACAACGTTGTGCCTTGATTTTTAATCCAACCCCTGATAAACCAGCACAAATTAGATTACTGCCACTCTATGGGTTAGAACCAAAGTGGCAACCTCATCTTGCCGAAGAAGAGGAGTTCCACAGTCATGACACAGGCTTCTGTAACTCAAAAAGTGGCCCACGCTGGGATGATGAGGCACTGACTCAAGTTCAAGCCAAAATCAGAAATGCACTGCCAACACCTAATGCACCATTTTGCTTTGACTACTTTGGTGACCTTTCCAATGATAACCTGTTTAGCCGGATTGTGAGGGGAGAACAGCAACAATGGAGAGTGTGGGAAGACAGTGAGCATGTTGCTTTCCTTACACCGTACCCAAATAGACCTGGTCTCACTGTTGTGGTACCACGCAGGCCCCTGTCCAGTGACATTTTCAGTCTAGGAGATCCAGACTACAAAGCTCTGATCTTGGCCACATATAAAGTGGCTCAACTGCTGCAGGAAGGAATGAAGGCTTCAGGTATTGCACTGATCTTTGAAGGGTTTGAGATCGACCACGCTCATGTCAAACTGGTGCCACTGTTACCTTCACCAGATGGGACAAAAGCTGTCAAGCTACAACCAGAATTCTTCCAAACCTACCCTGGATTCGTGTCATCCTTGGATGGCCCAGCAGCTGATGCTGAATCTCTCAAAAACACACACTTGAAAATCACCCAGTGCAGACCTCCTAATTCATGGAAAGATCCTCAACTTCACTCCACACTGGCCATGAAAAGCCAGTGGTATCGCAACCTGTTTCAAATTCAAAACACTCTGTTCCACAGCACAGTGGAATATTTCCACAATTCCTGCCATTACTCTTATGCTCTGACCCCTCTCACCACAGACACCATATCTTCACCAATGGGCCTGGGGTCCGACTCAGAGCCAGTGTCTGTAAGTCTGCTTGGTCAAGATGTGTACCTGGCTGACTCAATGCAGTTTGTTCTTGAATACTTCCTTCGCTTTCAGGAGAACCTACCCGGAACCTACTACATATCTCCAAGCTTTAGAGGAGAAGATCCAGACACCACACACTTGAACCAGTTCTACCATGTCGAGTGTGAATTGTTAGGGGACATGGACAATGCCATTTCCATTGCAGAGGGATACTTGGTCCACCTGACCAAGTCTATGTTGAAAAATCACTCTGACATAATCCAGAGCTCTGCTGGAACCTTAGCACACGTGACAGAAATCCTACGCAAAATGGAAGGAAAAACTGCTCTGCCAAGAATCCCCCTGGCTCAAGCCATTTCCATGATGCCCTCTCCAGACTGCTTAGAGTGGGTGCAAGATGGCCAACCCCTCTTTGGCAGAAAGCTAACTCGCAAAGGAGAGCATGTTTTAATAGAGAAATTTGGTGGTGCTGTATGGCTAACTGAGATGGACCACCTGGGAGTTCCCTTCTACCAGGCGTACATGGAGGGCACAGGACGGTCCAAAGCCAAAGCAGCAGACCTTTTGCTGGGGCTGGGTGAAACTGTTGGTCTTGGTGAACGCCACCCCACCCCTGAGATGGTACGAGAAGCCCTCAGGCACCATACAGTACCAGAAGAGTCCTACAAATGGTACATTAGCATGCGCAAAATGAAACCTCTCCTCACCAGTGGATGGGGCATGGGGACAGAGCGCTATTTGTGTTGGCTGCTTCAGCATGATGACGTTAGAGATCTGCATATCATACCAAGAATGAAAGGAATAAAGTACATGCCCTGATCATACAATTACTGCAGACAATCAGGCCAACAGATGTAATATATTTGTGGGAACTGGTCCAAACTACAGTATACACTGTAGATTCAAGAGCTTGCAAATACATCAGGGATGCATCATTTGTAACTTAGATCCAAATTTCTATTCTTCAGCTTTTAAACATGCTCTGTAGCCTTTTATCCTGATTATTGAAGCTTGCAAATATTTTTAGAACTCAATAGTACACTGGATACAACTTTTATAACGTAGTGAAGTTACACCAGATTGAGTTGTTTTTCTTAACTTTAAAGTGTCAAAACACAAATTTACTTATCTGCTTTCATCGCATTATGTTAAGACAGATAACATAAAACAAAGTAACGGTTTTCAAAATCAAAGACATATGAAATTTTTTTGTTTTAATGATAGCTGTGTTCAAAAATCATTATTGATCTCTGTCATGTAAACCGGTTTCATATTCATGTTTTTCTTTTCTGCAGCTTGCCTTTTTATGCAAATGATTGTTATATGAATCATGTATCATTGTAGCAAATATATATTTGTCAGCAATCTGAATAGCTTAGAGATATGTTTTGACATTTTCTGAAAAAAAGACAGTACATTTTGTTTTGAAATCTTTTTCTACTAGCTTTCATCAGTGTAAAATTTATTTGTTTCATGGTGGAATAAAATCTTTGCCTTTGCAACAGTTTTCTGCATATTTGTATTGACTTACAAAGCTGATTGAACGTACACAGGTTAACAGCCATCGCTCAATGCTCAGTCATTTAACTTTTATTACATTATTTCAACTGGGCAGAGAGGGATTGACCAAAGTTATGACCATTTTGATGTTTTATTCTATTGAAATGTTACCAATGTCTGAGTAAGATGCTGAGTACAGAGCAAAACTGAAATAAAGCATTGAAGAGATGGCAAAACATTTGAGAATTGAACACTGAAACATAGTCCTACAAAGTTGTTTTGTTTGTTTGTTTGTTTGTTTGTTTTGTTTTTTTAACAAGGGTTGCTGAAAACAAGTGCACATCCTACTGTTCAGATTTTTTGTTAAAAAAATAATCATGTATTCTTATGCTTCCACGTTTACTTTGGTTTGGTCTATTATATAAAATTCCAATAAAAATACATGAATAAGTGTGGTTGCAACACAACAAAACGTCGGACACATTGTATATATATATATATATATATATATTTATATATATATATATATATATATATATATATATATATATATATATATATATATATATATATATATATATAAATTTTTTTTTTTTTTTTACATTGAAAGAGGGGAATTTACTAAATTGAAAAGGCATATTAAAAACCAGTCACAAGCAACTCTAAGCAGGGGAAATTTAAAAAGTAATCTAGAAAATTTGTTGAAATATAAACGGTACAAAAAGTGACATAATATAAAAGCAGTATGGAGTTGGAAAATAAAATACAATTAATTAAAAATATACAAAAAAGGAAAACAAAATGTTATGACCTTCTGTTGATTACTTCATGGGCAGAGCATAGCTGCGAGACATTTTTTTTGACATAAAAAAGCCGCATGTAAACCGGATGTAGTAGTTCTGTACTGACGTACTTCCTGTTGTCACCACCGTATGTGACCCCCGGCTACAAGAGACACCAGCCTCCTCCTGAAGACACTTTTCTGACTCCTGTTTTCTGAAACGTAGGTTAACTTTTGTTTTTTATTTGCTTTATCGTTGTGTCGCTGCTATTAGACGTCGTTTCGGTCTCGTACTGAACGCGACGTGTCTTTAAACCGGGCTTAAACTAAGGTCAGCGCCACACGGCTGCTTACCGAGGTAAGCTAATAAGCTAGTGAGGAGGTGTGTGACTTTCTGGTGGACCTGACCAGCCATTTTCTATTCTCTTTAATGCCACCGGGAGATTTACTCGGCCAATATCAGCGATTCAGCTTCAGGTAGGGACCAAAACAAAGCTGAGGCAACGAAGGACAAGAACAGGTTGTGATTAAATGTTGTCAACGTCCGGGCGGCCATGCATGTTTTGCAACTAGTTAAAGATTAACAAACCCGAAGAAGGAGCATGTGGATATGCTTGTGTGGTGAATTGAGAGCTTCATAACTTTTAATTTATTATTTTTGTATAAAGTTATTCCTAAGGTCCACTTTTCATGAAGGCAGGTTTATTCGTTTACCTTTGTATATTCAGAGAAGTTCATACATTCATATTAAATATGGCTAATTTCTTTGTTTTGTGAGCGAAGAAGCAGAATAGCATACTTTATGAATGTTTATTGAATGTTCTAATGTTTTTCTTCCATCTCCAGCTATTGTTACACCAACAAATATATATTTAAAAAAAGGGTTATGTGTAATATTAAAGGGAGTAGAAGTAGCCTGTTTTGTTGATGACAGGTTCAAGGTATGTCCTGTATAAATAAACTCATTTTGATGATGCCCCAACTATCTGTAGAAGTTGAAGGATCAGGCAATCTCTTTGAACTGTGATCTTCAGCTCTTAAATAGATTTTCAATTGGATTAAAATCAGGCGACTGAGTGGGTCGTTCATGCAGGTTTATGTTGTCTGTTCAAGATTGCTGTCCAGTTGGAAAAGTTCACACTTATCTCATCCTTTGATTTATATCAAAAATTTATCAGTTTCCTGACAATAAATCTGCCAGTAGCTTACACTGAACAGTCCCACCTCCAAAGTTTTCTGTTTGTTAATGTTGTTTTTCCAAACAATTTGTGCATCATGACATCCAGAGAGTTTAATTTTGATCTCATTATGCGAGAATCGACAGCAGTCTCCAAGCTTTTCTTTGATTTGTCCTAAACCTCTGCAGGTAGACTTGTGAAAATTACATATTTTTCTGGACTATAAATTGTCCCTGTTTATTATGTTTTTTTTCCAGACCGTTTTCAAGTAATATATTGATAATAGAATAATAATCTGAGACTAATAAACTTTAACTTTGTACAGAACACTTAAGACTGGAACTGGAAATAAAAGATCAACAGAAAATACAGAAGTGGATTAAATAAGTCATCTTTATGTAGGTTGTGTATAATCAAATGCAGTTATCTGTTTAACAAGATAAATGTCTGCTAAAGATTAATTATGTTTTATAAAACTAGCTTAACCAGTCTTTACTCTTAATGTCACTGGTGCATATAAAAAAAATAATTTAAAATAAGCCAACAACGCTTAGCCTGGTGGGGAGGCAAGTAAAGCCTGGTGGCCCGCCAGGCTTATAATGCTCTGGTGGGAAACCCTGAAATTCTCCTTCAAAAAATATAAATTCTCAAAATGTAAATTATCAAGCTAATTTAAATTTATTATGCAATTAAGTGTTTATTGCGACAGGCAACTTAAAACAGGCTTCAGCTTGTTTTCTTCATTGTGCTTTATTGTTTTCATGCAAAAACTGCACCTGCTACATTCAGGTCTTGCTAATGTTCTCTTTAAAAGTTTCCTGGCTTTGATTTTCTGAGGAATCTTACAAGGAGCTCCTGGTTCTCTCTGGTTCAGGGTGAAATATATATATTTTTTTCTTCCACTTCTGAGCAATATTTAGACGTTTTTCGCTCAGCGTTGCCTCAGCCTGATTGTTGTCCTTTTCACTCAGCGTCTAGGGTCACCACCCTATCCATGTGTGTTTCCTGATGGGCAGCTGGTCCCGCGGTGCTGTGCTGGAGCTGTACAGGGCGCTGCTCCGCGCAGGGCGTCACCTTCAGTACACCGACCGGAACTACTACCGCCGGGCCGTGGCCCGTGAGTTTCGGCGCTGCCAGGCCCTGACCGTACCCGAGGATAAGGAGGAAGCACTGAAGAGGGGCCAGTTCTTTCTCAACAGCAGGCTGGGCGGGCTTATGTAGGGCGGGGGGAGGGGAAGGGAACACCCGGTGGTGGGGTCAAGAGGTCGTCAGGATCTGCATCTCTCAGGTAGCGTCAACAAAGAATGCTTGTTTTAATTACCAAACATGTTTTTTTTTTATTATAACCGCTTGACAGTGGAACAATAGCTTCTTCTTCTTCTTCTGCTTCTTCTTCTTCTGCCTTCATTCTGTTGTTATGATCAGGTTTGTATGCTCTCGGTGGCAGGATGGCGGGCGTGAACGGAGACCGCAAGGGGAAGAAAGATGACAACGGGATCGGGACCGCTATCGACTTCATGCTTTCCAATGCCAAACTCGTTCTGGGTGTGGGCGGGGCAGCCATGCTGGGCATCGCGACCCTCGCTGTCAAAAGAGTAAGTCTGACAATCCCAGTCTTTTTTTTTTTTTTTTTTTTTTGTTTTCCCCCCCATACTTCCCTCCTGGAGGCGTGACCTGTTGTTTGTGCAGATGTATGACCGGACCATAAGTGCCCCCACCAGCCCCACCAAGATGCAGCAGACGGGGAAGAGAAGCTGGGAAGAGCCGGCCTGGGTGGGCTCGTCTCCACGAGTTCTCAACCACGACATGAAGTCCACAGTTAGCCGCTCCCTGCAGTCTCTGCCCACGACCTCTTGCTCTTTTGAACCAGGTGAGGCGGATGTTCTTCTGTCACTCTGACGGCATTGTTCTATTTTCAGATGTGGGTTTTTTTTTCCCTGTGTCATGCAGTATTTAATTTTGTGAAAAAGACAATCAGCCAGGTGTTTTTTTTTTTCTTTTCTTCATCTGTCGACAGACGGCTTCCTTGGAGGATTGTTACTCTTTCTTTACAGTGGGTTTGGACCTTCTGTCTTTCCGTAGCTGATGATTTCCTGATGTTTTTAGGTTCCTGATAATAAAACCACCTATAGGATCACCCTCAGTAATTTATTGCTTTTAGGTTTAGTGTTGTTGTTTGCCAACTCTTGATAACGCAAAAGTAGCGCTTTGCAAAATCCTTCATATCCCTTTGAACTTTATTCCATTTTGTTACCAAACAACAAACATTAAAGTATTTATTTTGTATTTTATGTGATGGACCAACATAATATAAAATGTAGTTGTGACATTTTCAAGTGTGCAGATTCTCAGTTGGACTGGATTGCTCTAGTGAACACTTAATCTTTTGTAGCAAAGGATGCACTTTAAAAAATACTTGAAACACGTTATAAATATTTTTTGTACAGTTTCAGCTTAGTTCCTGCTCTGATTATGTTTTTCTTTCAGCATATTGCTTCTTTTTTGCGTTTGTACTCTACACGAATTGATTACCAAATTAGTTGATGATTATTTTATTAATGGATTAAGTCAGTTTTTATTCACTAATTGACGTCTGGAGGCAGCTGGTTGCACTGTCAGAAAGTTCAGATTATTTGTTAAAAACTTTACATTTGTTGAAGGGACTTGATGACTTTTGCGAAGAACAGTATCCATCCCTCAGCTCTGAAGTTTGCTTCCCTCTTCCTCCCTCAAAGTTCTGCTGCATTCTTAACAAAAGCGTCTCCGTCGTCTCCTCAGACTGCCTGCGCAGAGCCGCAGGTCGCTCCGCGGTGGGAGGAAGCGGCGCCACCCAGTCCAGCCTGATGCAGGCCCGCATGCGCCTCTCCCTGCAGGAGCGTCTGTGGGACTTTTACCAGACCAGGGTCAACATCCCCGCCGAGGAGCAGGCCACGGCCAGGAGGGCGGCGCTGGACATCTGCGCCGAGCTGCGGGTCTTCCTTCACGCCAAGCTGCCTGACATGCCACTCAGAGAGATGTACCTCAGCGGCAGTCTCTATGACGACCTGCAGGTGAGCGCCGTTGCTGCTCGACCGGTTCCGGAAGCGCGACCCGTACCGTCAGCTAATTTGCAAGTGTGTTGAAACAAACACTTGCAGAAAGTGTATTTTACTACTTTTTTTTTTTTTGTTTGTCTTTGTAATCGTAAAAATAGTATATGATTTAAAAAGAATAACAAGAAATAACGACAAAAATGCTTGAACCATATTTTGCTAGACTGCTGCTGGGGGAAAAAAAGAGTAATAAATTTGTGTTTCTCACAAACACAGGATATAGTCTTGTACATTCTGATAATACCTTTGGCTGATCTCGTAAAATATGTGATGATTATAAGAGTAGGTCTTTTTTTTTTTTGCCTGTGGTGAGTCCACCAGGAGACACGTTGATGGTGAAGTAGCTAACAGTCCCGTAATAAAAAATGAGTACATTTCTGCTAAAAAAAACAAAAGCAAAAAAACTCAAGAAATTTGAGATTATTATTAGAAATTTTCTAGAAAAAAACCTGAAATATTCTGGGTTTCAAAAAGTTTAGACTTTTGAAACTCTGAAAGATTTCAAAAGCCGAACATTTTTGACTTTTAAAGCTTAAGAGATTAATTTAAGATTTTTTGTCACAAATTTTCAGGTTTTCAAGATCAAATATTTCCAAGATTAATCTAAAAACTTCTGAGGTTTATAGAGAAAATTCTCTCCCTTTTTTAAATCTATAATGGCCTTAATACACCTTCAACCATTACACTAAATTATGACAATTACTATTCATTAAAGAGAATTATAACAGTATCTAGGAAAATAGGTCTCCTAACAAGTAGTATTTACTTGTAGATGTGCCACTCTGTCGCTGTGCAGTTTAAGAATAATCCACAAGTTTTTATTTCGTCAGCTCAAGCACAAACAAGCCAGCGGTTTGGATCATGCAGCGGGAAACAAATGCAAATTTTAATCTGGGATTTTGAATTAAAATGTTCCAATCCTGCAGGTGGTGACGGCCGACCACGCCCAGCTGATGGTGCCTCTCGTGTTGGAGAAGAACCTGTGGTCGTCCATCCCCGGCGAGGACACCATCATGAACATCCCGGGGTTCTGGCTCGTCCGCAGGGAGAACCTGGAGTACTTCCCTCGCAGCAGCAGCTACTGGGACCGCTGCATGGTCGGCGGCTACCTCTCCCCCAAATCGGTCCTGGAGGTCTTCGACAAGCTCGTCGCCGGCTCCATCAACTGGCCCGCCATCGGCAGCGTCCTCGACTACATCATCCGCCCCGTGGTTCCCTCGGAGACGCTCACCCTGGAGGTCCAGTACGAGACGGACCGCAGGCTGTACGTGGACTTCCTGCCTCTGCTGGTGATGGAGGACGGAACGTCGCTGATCGCCAAGCCACACCGGCTCGCCGCCGAGCGCCATGAGAACTTGTGGCGGCAGAGCTTCCGCGTGGCCGAGACGGCGCGCCTCCGGGCGCTGGACCAGGAGGACGGCGGCTGCCGGTACGCCTGCCTCAAGGCGGCGAAGGCGGCGTGCAAGCTCAACCCGGCTCTCCACCGCCTCAACTCCAGCCAGCTCACCAACGCCATCCTGCTGCTGAGCGAGAAGGAAGGCGACTGGACGCGGGAGGCGCTGGCCGACCGCTTCCTGCAGCTGCTGCGAGCGCTGGTGGGACACTTGGAGGCCGGGAGGCTGCCGTGCGCCCTCAACCCCAAAGTTAACTTGTTCTGCGAGCTGACGGAGCAGGAAGTGGACGAGCTGGGGTACACGCTCTACTGCGCCCTGTCAGATCCAGAGCAGCTGCTGAGAACTGCTGCGGAGCCGTGAAACGACTCCAACAAGCAACAAATTAGAAGCCAACGTCAGTTTTTTTTTTTTTCTTTTTTATTATTTTTGGGGGTCAAATATTCTTCAGTCGTGATGAAGCTCCAGAAGAAAAAACCCTGCATGGAAAACAAATCACCTCTTTTTGTTCTTGTTACCTCTAAAAAACCATCAGTGAGTAACCATGACGCAGTGTTGGACTCGCCTCAAAGCCATTGTATTAATGAAGTTTAGCCTGTTGTGCTCAGATCACCTCTGAGGTCTTTAACTTCCTGTCGTGTAGAAAGAGGAATGCACAAATTCAGCTTTATTTGGGCTCCTTTGACCTCCATTTGCAGTTACTATGGCAACTGTTACCAATCTGTTTTTAATTTAGTTTCAAAGGATTGAATGTAATGTTAAGTGTTGTATGGCAAGCCAATGTGTAATAAAATCCTGATCAGCCTCAACGACTCGGCGTTCTTAAAAATAAAACGATGTAAGAATCAAATTTCTGCACATTTAAATTTCATTAATACAGTGGCTGATTAACGTATTTCACACTATGGTACCTTGCAAAAGTATTCACACCACTTTAATTTTTTTTTTCACATTTTGTCAGCTTACAACCATAAACTTTTATCTATTTGAGTCAAATTTATCGACCCAAACAAAGTGGTTCAGGATCTGAAAAGTGTGGCGTGCATTTGTTTTCTGCCCCACTTACTCTAAAATCTTCAAATAAAATCCAGTGCATTAGTAAAATAGACTCAGACCTGTTTGTAATTTAATCTAGTGACAGCAGCAGTATGAATTTATTTATTTATTTATTTACTTCAGTGGCATCAAAACAAAGATGGCTGAACTCATTTACGCCAAACTGCTTCAACTTCTGGCTGAAACATTTGTTCTCCCTCGCGTGTTCACTTGTGACAAAATGTGAAAAAAGGTTCAATTGTTGTGACTTTTGTGTGACACTGTGCAAAAACTTTTGAACGTCGTGGTCCCAGCGCGATGTAGAAAGTGGTAAAAGTTTAGTTGAGATTCTAACTGGAGGTGAAACAGGACGACCATATAAGGCGAGCAGGAAATGCCCGATTTGTTGCCGGTGAGGATAAAACAAAAAGCTGCTCTTTGTTTGTTGGAATAAAAAGGAGTTTTATTCTGTAATTGCTTGGACGTGGATGTGGACACAAATTATCAGAAAATATTTTAACCCCGTCTGGTTCGTTCATTTGGAGCCTAAATCTTTGTAGCAAATTTAAGATAACCCATAAACTACCAGATAGGCTGCAGAAGCTGCTCCAGTTTCAGTTTGGAGCACTTTGTTCATTCTGATGCCTTTAGGCGTGTGTAAATGCAGATTCATGTAAAGGATCCAGGCAGTGTTGTGTTAAGCAGCCAGACGTTAGATTGGATTAAGGTGCAGGTCTGTGTCGCTACGGCTAAAAGGACCAGGAGGGATCCATTATTAACCTGCAGTCGGTAAGCTGCTTCTGCCCGTCTGATCTTTGTGTTGAACAATAGTTTCCAGGTGCTAATCTTAGGTCATGATCAGGATCTTAACACAGGCCTGCAGGTACAGCGTCTCGCTAAACAAACCGTTAAATCAACGCTGTAGGATCTGAAGTGGAACGGAACTAATATGGCCGTCACTTTATTTCACAGGGTTCTGGTAAATTTTCCCTTTCCAAAATTTTCTGTCTTTATTTTCAACATTTGAGCACAGATATTTAAACTTGGTTGGCGGCTTTTTTTTTTTCTCCTCCATTTTGGCTTTTTTGTTATGTTTTTGCGTCGGGACAAACAGAGACAGACCTTTTGAATTCCCGTCGTCATAAGTCACAGCTTGGGATCTTTTAAGCTTTATTTGGTGAGAATAAAAAAAGTTAGTGTCAGAACTATCTTTAGCATCTTAATCAGACCAACTTGTGACACCTTTGTGTCATAAGTTTTAAGAAGGTCCAAAAGTTCAAACAGTTGAGTTGAATTATTTTCAGTGAGTTTTGTTTTTATGTTGCAAAATGAAAGCTAAAAGTCAATTTTAACCCAATTTTCTCAGAAAAGTGTCTGTCTTTTACCAGATTAATAAACTTACGTTTCAATACCCAGTTATGCTTTATGCCATACTTCTAAAGACTGTATTGGAACCCTGATGCACAAATTAGACAAAAGTCACATATTTGTTTTCTACCACAGTAAGAAAATGTTAATGCAGCCGTCAGCTTTGGAGATTTGTGTCAATTTTCTTTGCAAAGTATCTTAAGCTCAGTCAGGATGGATGGAGAGCATCTGCGTAACATCCAGATTTTCCACAGATGAGCTTATTTTGGTCTGGACTTTGACTAGGCCATTGATGCTCATTGAACTAAAGCATTCCACTGTCGCTCTGGCAGCTGGAAGGTGAACCTCCAACCTGATCTCAGGTCAGTGCAGTTTCTAACTGGTTCTCTTCTCCTCTGTCCCCACAGCATGCTGCTGCCACCGCTTAGAGATGGGGTTGACATGCAGCGCAGTATTAGTTTAGTTTTACTCATAGGAAAACTTTAAATGGAGTATTAATACTTTTGCAAGGCAGCTTTCCTTTTGTTTTTTAGCCAAAGATTGTGTTCATTTGCTCAGAAATCAGTGATTCGCTCCCAGAATATAAAAGTTTATTCCAAATTAAAGATAAGTAGGAACAGCTGCCAGACTCAAGTAGAGTTAGTCACACATCTAGTTGTTCTGTTTTCACTCTTAGCCTTAGGATAAAGTTGAAACATCACCTCATCTCCACACATGTAATCCTGTTCATATCGTGTACATTGATCGATTTATTTAATCATGACAAAAGAAAACAAGTGAATATTTTTGTATTTATTAAACATTTGTAACCAAAAAAAGAGAGCTGAATATTTATTTTCACTGATTCAGGTCAACATAGAACGGTACATATCTGTGCATTATCAAGTGCTTTGGTCAGAGTGTAGAGTTTTCTGTGCATATGATGAGTCTTCCTCTGCATATTAATTCATGCTGTACGTTACTACTGTGCTAAAGTGAGGCGTCGCCATGCCACGTCCGAAAATAAAACCCAAAACCGGTCGCTTCTTCTGAGCGGAGGGCAGCCGTACGCTGTGATGCATGTAACCCCAAAACCCATGAGTTCTTTTTAAACATTGGAGCACTTTGTATACGTCAATAAACGTTGAAATGATCGGAGACGGTCTCTGCGTTTTTCTAAGGACATGATTTGAAGTCAGTGTAATGAAAGCAATACAAAGAATTCAATGTTTTTATTCAGCTTTGAAAAACTCACACAGAATAGGATTTTAATTTAACTAGAATTAAAAAAAAAAAAAAAAAAAGATTTTAAGCAGAGAAAATGAAATCCAAGGTTTGAAAATATACCAGGACAACGTAAAGTTTCACACATAAGTGCAACAAGTAGACGTGTCAATTCACGTCAACATGCTGAATTTTCTAGCCATTAAAGCTGAATCTTTGGAAAACGGTGAACTGTAGCATTTCTTGCTGTATTTTTTAAATCAGCTGATTATTTTTCCTTGAAAGTCTTTATTAGACATTGAAAAGAAACTTTATCTGTTTCCTATGTGTTAGAATAGGAGACAGAAAAAATTTAAATAAAATAGATAAAATGGGAGACTCCTATTTGGCGGGTGCAAACCCGACTCGGTCCTCGTTCCTGTCAAACACGGTGTAGTACTTCCCAATGAACACGTCTCCCAGGATCCAAAGCGGCCCGGCCGGCGGCGGGATGTCCATGCCCATGAACCCAGACAGACAGATGGACACGCCCATCTGAGACTCCTGCAACAAAGGGGAAGGAGAAAAAGAATAAAAGATTATTTTACACTGGTGCCCATGACGTTGGAATAATTTAAGGTAAAGGTAATTTTATTTATATAGCACATTTTCAGCACCAAGGCAATACAAAGTGCTTTACAGGAACTGAAAGGAAATACAAACAAAATAAATAAAAAAAAAGAGCAAAAGAAAAAGATAATGTTGATCCAAAGTAAAACTAGATACTGAACTGTATCTGACTTCACACACATATGAGCTTTTTCACAGGTTGTGTTCACTTTTAGAGACAGGAAACCATTTTAGATTCCTTTGAATAGTAAACGATGCTCTTTGAATTTAATTTTTTATGAGAGTTTGTTCTCTCAAACGATGTTTTTTATCGTACATCGGTAGACCCTGAATACAAACCAATTCCAGCCAGTGATTTTTTAATATTTTTCTTAGAACTGACTCTTCTGAGAAAACAGTTTGAATGAATAATAGATTGTTCAGGCTTTGAGTGCAACGTGCAACAAACATGCCGAGTGAAGCTCCTCTTGGCAGAACAAATAATATCACATTTCTAATAATCTGTCCACCTTAAAATGAAGTGCAATTATTGTGATTCTCTATTTTTAAATGCATTAATATAGTTCCTTTCTACACAGAATGCAATTACAGCTCATCAATTAATGTAATTTATCCTTAATGGTTGGAATTGTTATTAATTTGTTTATTTTGCAATGAATAAAGGTTTCTGATGATCTGATGCCCCTTTGAAATGTGATTTTTTAAAAGTACTCAAAAATGCATTTTGTATTTTGGTATCCGCTCCTTTAGTGTAACAATCAGTCCAAGTTTGAGTGGCTCATTTATCGTTTTTCCTGACGTTGAATGTTTGAAAATACTACTTTTAGTGTTTTCACAAACAAAATAAAGGCATCAAAAATCTGTGCTCTAAAGAAACTTATTCAATGTAAAATAATCCAGTCAGACTGATGTACTTTTCTTATTTGTAAGATCACTACTAGGAGGAAAAACGACATGAAGTCACTCCTGTGGATTTCCTTCAGGGACAAGTGAATAAAATACCTCCTCTACATAAATACCTTCATGACATAATCCTCCCCGGTTAAGTTGAACATCTTCCCTCCGATGTTGAATGAGACGACAGGAAGCGTTGGGATCTTCTTGCAGTCAATCATGTACTAGAGAGGGAAAACGTGCATGCTGAAGTTGACGCAACAAAAGACGCAACACTTTCAAGATGTACGACTTTTACCTCTCCCATCAGCAGAGGCAGAGCGCCGATGGCTTTGTTCAGCGCTCTGACCTCTGCAGCAGGACCCACGATTAGAGACGTTCCCGTGTCGACAATTGCCTGGCAACCGTCTTTGCAGAGCGTCAGCTGGTTCCCCACGTCAACTCTGGGAGGTTAGAAGAACCACAGATTAAAAACTACTCGTGTGAATTGGTGTTAAAAAACACCAATAAATGTCACTTTTATGCAGTCAAACAGATTAAAATAACGTGTTGAAACTTCCTCAAATTTATCCCAGTTCCTCAAAGCAGCGGCGCCTCACCTGTTCATGTCGATCTGCCAGTAGGCCTTTCTTGTCACGTTGACGTAGTGTAGGGCTCCGGTGTAGTACTGCGGGTCGGTCCCACCCAGCATCAGCTCTCCTCCCACTGCTGCTTTCGGGTCCCTGAGGGTTCAAACCCGTTTCAACAGAAGGATTTTCTCAATGCAAACGGTTTTGCAACAGATTACCCAACAAACTTAAACCAAAACCTCGCAGCGGTTTCTTCTGTGTCGCAGTGAAACTAAAACCCAAAACCCATCATTTGTAAAACGTAATTTTTCTTAAACCCACCTGCTGATGTAGACGGAGAAAATGTTCTGTGGCAGCAGCTTGGCCGCCATGGCTGTGTCGAACACTGGGGTGACTTTAGCCACCGATATGGACGGGTACGCCATGCCCAAGACGCCGTCGAACCGCGCGACGGCGAAGGTGATGCCAGGCTGCTTCACCGCTTCGCCAAACTGCTGACTGGGCACGGACAAACCCGCAACCTGCAAGCGACGGGATCAAATTCAAACTGACACAGGGGGATCATTGAATGCAGCTTTAAAGGTCGAGTGATTTGTTTTCTAAACTCACCGAGACGGTGTCCTCACTGATAAAGCCAGACAAGCTGCCTCTGCCGTACCGGATGGCAAACTCTGTCCCGTTCTTCACGTACGTGCTCGACTTTTGGGAGTTGTAACGGCGATGAACCCCTGGGTGGAAAAGTAAAGAAAAAAAAAAAGAAAAAAAGATGGTTTATTATTATGAAAGTTACAAAAAAGCCATTGCTAACCACTAAAACCAGAAACTGGTTATGTTGCAAAAGGCTTCAGTTTCAAACTGTTTTGAATTTGAACTCTCTGTGTAAAGCGACTTAATTAAAAGGTTGCAGTTGGAAGGCGAACTCACAGCAGGCCAGATCGAAGAAAGCGCAGTGGATGGACGGGACCCAGAGGTTGGAGGAGCCGGTGTCAAACAGGACGGAGAAGTTCTGCGGAGGGGTGCCGATGCTGATGACGCCATAGTATTGGGCCTAAAACAATAAATAAGGAAATAAAATAAAAAAAAAAGGCTTTTTCACATTTTGTCATATTACAGATCACAAAATTCATTTTGTTCCAACTTGAATCACAGGATTCATTTCAAAGTCTGGTAAAAACTAAAAGTCTGCGTGCATTTTTAATTTGATTCCCCCTTTATTCCGATATCCACAAAACAGAACAATTTCATGATCTGAGCTGTTAACTCCTGTTTTTGTGTTTTGCCCCGTTGTGTGATTCGACTGAATCAGATGTTATTGGTCTTAATGTCAGTCTGACGAGAGTGTTGCATCATCTATTTTACGTCTTATTTTGAATATTCAAATCAATCTGCACATGCAAACTAGCTGGTTTTGCTCATGCTCATCAGTGATGCTCTTTGCATTTTAAATAAATAAATCCAAAACGATCTTTAGAAGTCACAAAGGTAAATAAACAGTCACTTTGACATGAATCTCGCTGTTCTTTGAAGGCCTAAGAGCAGATATTTCTCCTTTCCTGATCCAAATGAATGCTTCACTGCCAGACTCCTGCAGAATCTGATCATATGCTGAGAACATATACTGGACTGTACTGGATCCAGAGGGAGTTTTTGCCATTAGAAACGGGGAGGGGATCCAGGTGAGTTTGCAGTCAGTGAAAGACATCCTGACTTCCTTTTACTTGTAATACCAGGGGGCATAATGAAGAAAGAACCGCCACTGGCTGGGAAACGGCTAGAACAAGCAGAAGCTGGCTGTTGAGAAATCACGTTGGGAAACCCCTGTTCTATCACAATAAAGCTCAATAAAAACACATTGGAGTTTGTGGTTTTAACATGAGGAAAATTGTGACAAAGATCAAGAGGTATGAATACTTTTTTTAAAGCATGTAGCTGTGACCTGGACAGCCTGAAACTCTAAAGAGCACCACTAGAGTTAGGAATATTAGGTCACAATAAACACTTCTATGGTTATGCAAACTTCCCGTTTCATTGCAAGTCCAGTTTAGTTTCGTGTAAAGTGAGATCAAAGAGTAAACTCATCCTAAAGTTGGTATTAGGAGTTTTGCAATCAAATATTTGCTTAGATAAATTAATTTCTAGTCAAAGGGTGATCGTTTTTTTTTGCTTTTTGTTTTACAGAAAATGGGGCAAGCACTGAAGGTATTCATGTAAAACAGTAGCCAAATGATAGCCTGAGTCAATATTAGAGTTGTAAAAAATATGTGATGAAGCATGATGTTTAACTTGGCCGCCATTTAAATCTGAACCGAGGCGCTCTGCAGGTGGACGTACATCCATGAAGTTGGTCAGCCTCTCCACAGGCAGCTTGGGGGACGGAGAGCTGTCCGGAGAGCCGACACTCTTGGCCAGAGCCCGAAGTTCCTCCACAGTCCTCCCATTGTCGCTCATGAGGCGGCGGAGGCTTCTGGTTTTATACAGCGGAACTCTGGAACGACATGTTTATTGGATTAAGACGCGGAGACGCATGAGCATCACGGGGCTAAAAACACGCTTCCGTGTCCGTCGCTCCTCCTCGTAAGCAAGCTTTAAAATACAACTAGCTACCTTTTACATTTTTTTGAATAAACTAAATAATCAATAACTCTGGCTGTAGAGGAACTGGACACGCGCGCGTCCAATTTTGCACTTCAACAACTTAAAAGTCGCACGCGCATTCCTCAACCTAATAAGTTGTTGGCTAACCAAGTGAGAAACATTATTTACCTTACGACGGCGGCGCATTGAGTAACGAGCAGCGCCAAGACAACGCAAAGCATCCTGACTTGTCTCATGTCTGTGCTCCTTACGATAGAATAAGC